GATGAGGGTCCCTGCTTTACAAAGCACGTGGGCTCCGACAAGGAAGCAAGGCCACAGTTCATGCTTAGCCAGCTTCACTGGGGCTTTTGCTTCTTTCCTAAATTGCTGGGGAAATCCAAAGGCCCTGCAACATATACTTGTACAGGACAGGTTTATCACACACGTTAACATGAAAGTCTAGGGTAAATCTAGCTATCAACATGCAAAACCCTGGCCAGATCTGTCAACATCTGGGACCAGAAACATCTCTTAAATGCTGTTTTAAAATTATATGACAGTAACAAATGTAGTGCTAATGAAATGCAGAGTCTGGTTACCATCCAAAATTCAGTGGTATTTGCCATGGAGCTGAACTCCCAGCGTTAAGCTGCTGGTGCTAGAAAGTTTCCTGTAGCTAGGCAAAGAAATTCAACACAGAGAGAAGAAGAGATTATTCCTCTGTGTGTGACCCTGGCTAAAACTGCCCATTGACCATCCCTAACTGTAGCTCTCCTTCCTGTCCTACTCCCATCTGTAATACACCTTCAGCTGTTTTTCCTGTCCCAAGGGGAAACCAAGGTGGTGGCTGCCATGGATGGTGGGGGCATTGCCAGGAGCACAGCTGCCTCCTCCTCCAGTCACTGCAGACCCACCAACACGGGTCTGTATGCTGATTTTTGCAATACTCTGGAACGACTAACCAGTTCTCAAGCCATGGGTGACTAACTCCCCCGATGGCCCTTCACCACCAGTTAGAAGAGCACTTTTCTGGAAGGTCTGAAGTCATCCACTAGTTAATCATTTGAGCTTTCCACTCCTCCCATCTCATTTTTTCTCCAATTAATTCGATGTGAGGAATTTCAACTGTTCACTGAGGAGTTGGGAAGACCTTGACCAAATAGCCCTTTCTTTCCTCCCTGCCCGTCAGTCTCCAGCCTCCTTGCACAGCACCTCAGGCCAAAGCCAAGGCCAGTGAAAACCTTTCCTTTCACTCGCTCACATTTCACTTTCACAATAAAACTCACGTCCAGATCACTGCTCAGGAAAACCATGTCTTCCACCAGGGCAAGCCCTGCCCCAGGCTACCTTGCCCAGCCCCATTTGGGTCTCCAGAGAGGAACCAGCTCCTGTGCCTGGCCAGGCTCCTGCCTCCCAGCCAGTGCTGACAGCACACACCAGCTACATCCAAGCCAGTCCCATGCAGCCCTCCCAGGGCTCATCTTCTGGAATCCTCCAAAACTCATCTTCTGGAATTGTGGGGCTATGGAGGAAGGAAGAGGGAAGAAAAGAGAGATGCAAGCCCCTTGAGCTGCAGAGAGCAGCTTGCTACCTAAAGGCGTTCGACTGCCTCAGAAAGAAGAGGTAAATTTAAGGAACCCACAGCCAAGAAGTTGTTTTGCTGAGTCTGAAATCTCATTTTTATGCTTATCGCATGCAAAGCTGAAAATAACACTGGCCACACTTACAACCCGATAAGGGGAAAAATGTGTTGAATAACAGCCAGTGCAACTGAAGAGAAATTTGTTGCACAAAAAAACTTTATCAGAAAGCATCCTTCAGAAAAACAGATAAATACACACACTTCCACAGTGAAGCCAAACCCCTGTAATCTCCCTGAAGGTTGTGCAGCAACATACCTACAGATGCCCACCAGCTCATTACTGGCCCTTAGCTGGAGATGATAATTTCTGTAGGTCAGCCTCCAAAACAGCTGGTGTGAGCTTTCCCTAACCTGCTCCAGGGCAAACTCCACCAACAGCTGAGACTCCCTTCAGTGACAGGGAAAGCTGGACAGGCAGCAGGCTGTTATTTCTCCATAGAGGTTCACATAGCTTTACATATACTATCACTAGTTTGGCTTCTCCCTCTGATCCTAAATCAAAGAATCGGGAGGAATAAAGAAAATTGGGTGTCAAGAGTTGTGCATGGCACCATCTCTGAGCTGACCATATGGAAGAAAAACCCAGACACTTCAATACTCCACAGAATCAGGTCCTAAATCTTTGAACAAGTCTTGAGTCCATTTGAAAGTGACAAAAGGGCTCCGAGGATGGAGTCGTGGCTCTAAAATTGGAGAAGTGTTATGCTGAATGTGCTATTTTGCCACCTTCTCCAGCTGCAGCAGGGGCAGCTCTTCATTACAGCCCCCAGCCTGCTCCTGGCTGGTTGTCAACATGCCCAGTGGAAATCCCTCCAAACTGCTGGTGCATTTCAAATAAATGGGTCCAATTAGCAAAGCTTTATGACTGCAGCTGAAATGGTGGGGAAGGATCATACCAGCAACCAAGCAGGCAGATCAGAGGGGGACAAAGCTTCCAATAGGTGATGATGAGCCGGTGGGAAGAAGTAACTGTGTCAGCTGGAAGAGAAACGTGAACAGAGCCTTACACTCCCTCGAGCAAGCAATTCCCCAGAGGGGCTGCAGGAGCAGCCCCCAGCCTCATGTTAGCACTTTATTTATAGCATTGCCTTACTGTTCATAACCTTCCCAACTGTGAATTGCAATTCTTCTCCCCCCAGCATTATGGTGATGGTTTGGAACATGGAGATGTTTGGAAAGGGGCAATTTGGCATCAGGAGTCTAAAAAGCAGATACAGATGACATCCTAAATGTATTTTTTATGAGTTTGGAATGATTCCTTTAAATTAAGCTCAGTGTGTGACAGCTTTTGGTAGTGCCGCCAGTAAGGAAATAAAACGTAAAAATCAAGAGGTTCTTGAGCATATGTAGTCTTAAAGATCGTACCCTCTGGACACCTTGCTTTCCCTCATGTCACTTTGAGCTGCGATGTACCAAGTGCTTCCCAAGGAAAGTGCTCCAATAATTTTCAATTGTCTCTTCACCACATATGCCCTCAAACCCCAACATACTTCCAAATTCAAGGCTTATAAAAAATTAAATGCTCCAATAATTCTAAATTGTGTCTGTTCAGTGTTACTGGAGCCTGTCCATTCCTTCAGTTTGGGGATTTTTGTTTTGTTTGCAGGGGGGAGGAAAAAATGCTTTCTATTAGTTCTTCAAATTGGAAGCCAGTCAAACAGCATCATAGGAGAATGATTCAACAGCGTCTGAGCTGATTCACAGTGTATCATAAAACAGGATTAGGAAAACAACAATACCTGGAGGAGAAAGAACCCACACAAAGGAGAAAAAACCCACACAAAGGAGAAAGAACCCACACAAAGAATCACGACAGGATAACAATACCAGAAAGGAGCAGAGGGAATAATCTTCACTTGGCTTCTGAGGAGCAGGTCAGATGACCTAATAGATGGCTTTCAATGCCCTTCATTCCCCGCTGCGTCACAGGGTTCAGCCACCCAGATCCAGCCACCATAACTTAATAAATAGCTCTGCATCGACTGAACAACGTTAAGTGTTTCCGTGTGCACACCTGCAGCCTGTTGTCATTTATCTGAGGCCACGGTCCCCCTCTGGCACAAGACCCAGATGCTATTTCACAGCAGGCAGGAGTTTATGAAGAACTAGGTAGAAATTCATGACCATTTAGGACAGGAAGCAAAGGAAACAATCTGAGGCTGTGAGTCTTCCAGTTATAAACCAAAAAGTGGGGTTTTCTCAGTCTTACTCAAGAAGACACACACACACAATGCAGCACATTAAAGTAGCAGAGGTGTCAAGCTAAGCATATTCCCTAGCACTGTCCTGAACTGGAATGAAATTAAACATGTATTTCATGATCTCCTGAATCAAAGCATCAGCAACCACTTACGGCCAATGCCAAGGTGGAAGAGGAAAGCATCATTTAAAATCTATTCCCTGTGAACCTGAAGATCCTATTGACAACCTTGTTGTAAATTAGGCCATACCTGTTACAACTGCGGCCTTGAAGTGACAGAGGAAGGCAGGGACTCTCTCAGGAGTTTTACTAGATCGGGAATAGTTGAATTAGTTCTATGCAGAACATGAAATCACAGCTTCACACAAGTGAGGAAAATCAGACAATTATATCACAATTCCGATAAAATAGCTATATCCAAAGTTTAGTAGAGAGACACAAAAACAGGGAGGAAAAAGAAAAATTTCCTATGCCATGGTCTCGTCTTGTTGACTGAAAAAATGATAAAGTGCATCCTTGTTTAACTCACTGCAGGGTGCCTGGAATTTTATAGAAACTGCTGCAACGTGTCTCCCAGTGGGGAACAACTGAAGCATGAGATAAGAAATCAGCCATATCCTAACTTGCAATGGCAGGTGCTGTAAAAGGAAATGCCCAATAAAGGCTTAATATATAGGAAGACGGCAAATAACTGCCTGGATTTTTGAAATAAGAAAGCATAAACCAATTCTCTAATCACGTCTAATCAAAGAACACCATCAGTTGCTAAAAACTTCTAGGAAAAAATGGGTATCAGAGCGATGGTAGCATGCATATCTTCTTCAGTAGTGTTTTGGGAATATTTTACCTGCAGAATTTAATTCCCTGTTATTACTTCTGAGCCTGGAGGTGAAAGTCATAAATCAGGACCATTCATAACATGCAGTAATGGGGTGAAATATTCATAAGGAGCGTTACATGATGAAATCCTTTGGGATTGTGTGTAACACTTCCAGTCCTTGATGACACCATTAAAAATTCTATTGTCAGTAACATCTATTCTTCCCTAATTCCTATACTGGGTTTTCATTCTTTTCTGCCAACATCTCCAAATTTTGCTGTCATATGGCATTCCATCCACCCTTCTTCCCTGCTGCCCTAAATATATGTTTAAAACAAAATCATAGGAAAGCATTCCATGCTTAAAAAGATGGGCAGGTTTTAAATTACACTGTATTTACTTATAAGGGCTTTTAATACCAGAGGAGCTTTCCCAGGGAGTTTTGCTCTGATTTCAGGACCCCCACCGTTTTTATAGGGGGCTATTTGGTCCCGTTTAGAAGGTGGCTACATTTTGAGTAAAAAAGACTGCAATGCTATAAAATAAAATAACATTGTCTCCACCCTTCTACTCCTCCCATCTACTGAGTTAAAAAAAAAAAAAAGATCCCAACCCATGTGTTAGAGCTTTGTTTTCTGAGTAACGAGACTAATCATGTTTCCTCTGCTTGAGGTTTCTCTCTTCTCTTCCTTTTCTTCTAGGTCCTCTGGATCCACATTGACATAGGAATATCCCATGATGGAGAAAATAATGCACACAGCAAAGAGGAGAACAGTGAACAAGACAAATTCAGCCCACTAGGAAAGAAAAAAGAACAGCATGTCAGGGGACCCCAGACTCTCAGTCCAGAGGATTTCTCTGCACTTCCAAGTGCTTTTTAAAGAGCTGGGTGAAAATTACTTTTTAGCTTCTGAGATTGCTCACAAGATAGAAACTTTCTCATCCTGTTTTCTGGTAAACTCATGTACACATAATGTAATTATGAATATGCGATATAGCTTGAAACAAACCAGTTAGATTGGACTAGTTTCATTAAGTCTTTTCTTACAAATCTGTCCTGACTGGAACAAACGTACCTGGGCTTTTTGCCCACAAGATGCCTTTGGGAGAGGCAGTTTCATGTTAGCCAGAAATGAGCCCCATTTCACACCTTTGTGCCGTCATCCCAGGAGTCTAATAGCCTGAATTAAACAAGCTCTGCACCACAACCTCCCCATGCAAGCCCGACATCTCAGGGGTGCCACAGGCAGCTGGCCCTGAAGGAGTCCCAAACTAGACGCTTGAGGAGGCTGCCTGCCCACTGGGCTAGCTGGATGAAGGCAAGATGCTTTTGGTAAGCAACTGCAACATGTGGCTGGCATCATGTCCAGGCTCCAGGCCCAAATACAGCCTGCTTGCCTAGAGCTGAGCTCCAGCAACGTTATCGCACCGCAGGTCACTATTATTTACTGCCACTGGGAGGCTTAGGGGGAGCCATTGCTCCAGAGGGCAACACTGCTGAGGGCAACGCAGAGCCCTGGCTGGGAGCCAGCTCGGTGCAGGCTGCCATCACTCTATTGCAGGAGCCTGGGGCTGTACAGAGAAGCTGTTCCTCCAGGACACAGACATCCAGAAGCACCATCCAGGCCTGTTTTAAAGCATTACCTTTGTTACAAGAGCCAAACCATACCTGTGCCATTGGTGCAGCCTGTGCAACAACGAGCACAAGGGTATTCCCAACAGCCACTGTGAGCAGCCAGCCTGCCTGCAGCACCGACTTCATGCTGGCCGGAGACTGAAAAGAGGAGAAGGGCCTGGTCAGTGGGTATCATGCTGTGCTTTTCTGCCCTGCTTCAGCCTGTGATGTCCTGCCTGGTGTAGGTGTCACTGGGCTCAGCCTAGGAATTTCCTCTGTGCAGAATTTCCTCTGTGGTTAATTTCAACAGCTACATACAAGGAGCTTTCAAAACACGTCCTCCAGGAGGACATATGAAGAAAGAGGAGATGCTGTTGTTGCAGAGCTGGATCCTGATCTCATCCCCAACCTGCATTATCTGAAATTGTACAATCAGGAAGTTCAGGGAGCCACAAAACAAGCCCTGCAGCTTGGAGTCTGGTGCCATGTGGCTGTACACCTCTGGAAAAGAGACTGGATCTTGATGTTAAACTTCCTGCTG